TAGAGAGGAGGGGAGTGGGAGAGGGGAGAGGAGTAGGAGAGAGTAGAGGGGAGGGGAGGGGAGAGGAGTAGGAGAGAGTAGAGAGGAGGGGAGGGGAGGGGGAGGGGAGGGGAGAGGAATAGGAAAGAGTAGAGGGGGGGAGAGGGAAGGGGAGAGGAGTAGGAGAGAGTGGAAGGGAGGAGAGGAGAGGACGCAGAGATGGACAGAGACAAAGAAAGAGATGAGATAGAGACTGAGACAGAGCAAGAGCCTGGCAGAAACCCTGGGTCTGCTTCTTAAGACATGTCTTTTCTAGCTACTTAAACATAAACAATCTACTTCTGCCTGAATTTGGGGTTCCTCTTTCCCATGGCTGAATAATAGAGATATTATTTATGTTACATGAATACTAGGCAGACTGAATGAACTCAAATGAAAGCAGACAAGATAATACTGGTGATCATTAGGGACTCCATGTTCAACCATTCTTATTTCCCCAAAGAAATACACCTTAACCAGTTTGTACAACAGGAAAAAAACCCCACAAGGCCAGAAAGAATACAATTTAAAATTAAATATATGTATTTAATACTTTAATGTACAGAGAATTATGATCCTCAAAAATTTATAGGCAAAAATATTCTATATAATTTTATAAATTGACTTGTGTAAATGCCAGTTGGTTCTCCATGTTTGTGTTCTATAGAAGTTGATGATATTTGAGTTCTTGATAGATTATGCATAGACTGAATGCCATACATTAGCTCCATAAACCTAATTGAACTTGGCTTTTATCAGGATGAAAAGCTACAGCTAAATTCCAGAAAGAAGCCAAAATCTTTCAGAAATACAAACAATTTTGAAGTCTAAAGAACACTTTAAATATAGAAAGATGTCTAAAGAATTTGTCACAAAGAATATTGAAACAAAGAGAAAGCAAAGCAGATAGATCATATAGCAACTATACAGACAGATATGATAATGATAGCTAGATAAGTAGATAGATGATATATAGATAAATAGATGGAAGGTAATGGCAAGAGAGAGAGGACGTAGATGGGTAGAAGAAGACAGAAAGAAAGCTGAGACCGATTTATGAAAGATAGATAAAGTCAGATGTTGATTAGAAGGAAATACAGACAGATGACAGACAGAAAAAAGGAGAGACAACATAGCTACCTTTTAGTCAATCAGTGTATATGTACTCCCAAACTTAACCTCGATTGCTGCCTGCTCATGAAGAATAAGACTGAGATAGGATATCTCTAATGCTGAGCTATTTGAGCTACAGAACCCATCTCCAAACTGCCTCAACCCTCCACTCAAGCCAAGCGTCTCAATGTGCAGGTCACTCTTTGTGGTGGTGAAACTATACCACGAACTTAAAAAGAATTATATTTAAAATGCTTTTGGTTAATTCCTGGCTTTCTCCTTAGCTTTTCATCTTCAGTCATCTATGGTGCTTCTCCAGATGAAAAACGAATGCTATGGGTCAGGCAGGAAGGCACTGCCTGCTATTAGGACAGTGTGAGGACATGCTCACTTGGAGTCCTCATCAAACTCAGCTGGCCTTATGCCTACAGATTTTTAATATGGTCGCCTCAGTACATAAAGGCTTGATTGTGGAATTAGAAACAAAGGTTTACCCCAGGTAAATGGTACACAGGAGGACAGCAGATTTCCCAATTTTTCATTCTATGTTACTTCAAAGACTCGGG